AATAACGCTTTTCATGACGAAACTTTCACTTCAAACAATAGAAAATTGAGGTATAATGCTAAGGCGCGCTATTTTTTATTATTAAAAAAACATAAATCCCATCAGTTTTTCATAAAACCAAGGTGAAAACAACTTAGTACAAGCTTTGATTCTCAGCTATCGCAGTTTATGATTTTATTTGTTTATAAGTGTAAACAAAATGTTCTAACCCTTCGGTTTTTTATTTAACCGAGGCATAAAATAATAAGATTTTACTGTAAAAGCACTCATTAAATAGATTTTACCCTAATCCTAACTAATATGAAGCCGCCCCAACCATCATTCTTTGGGATGGATTGCAAGACATAAAAAATCTTCAATACTCTTCTATCTTGAATAAAACATTTTTTCTTCCATTGTAATATATCTCTCATAATAGCGTTGATGTTGTTGTTGTTGTATTTTTTGGAATAACCCTCAATTACAGAAGGGTACTCAGTTGATAGATCGCAAATGCATAAAATTATTTTTGCCTCAAGTAACCCAAAGAATGGAGCTTAACCAACAGCGAAGAAAGATTAACTTTGAAAAGTGCTCAGTTGGTAGATTGTAATTCTAGAAAATCATTCTTGCTTCAAGTTAAAAAAGAATGAAGCTTAACCAACAAAGAATGGAATTGGCTCAACATTTAAAGAGTACTCAGTTGATAGATTCCAAGTACAAAAAATTATTCTTGTTTCAAAAAAATTTGCTATAATGGGTATGCAACAAAATTTGGATATCACCGAAGATTTATTGTAAATAACTTTTATTAATATTCTGTGTAAACAATGTAATTTAAAAATAAAATAAAATAAATAGTTACCTCAGTTTTCTTTAACATCGAGGTGATAGTTAATATAAAACCTCAGTTTTATAGTAAAACTGAGGTGGTTAGTAAGCATATTTTACTTTTATAGCTCTCGTTAAACAGATTTTACCCTAATACTAAATTATATGTAGCCGCCCCAAAGAGAGGAAATATTCAGCACCGTCCATTTCTATCATGACTTGCTACTACATATCTATGCGATGGATTGCAAGTGCATAAAATAAAAAATTCTCATTGGGAAATTTTTTTTACAATGTATTTGTAATATTCTGTATAAACAATGTAATTTAAAAAAAAAACAGCTATTTCACCTCGGTTTTCTGCTTGGCCGAGGGGATAGTTAAGCGTTTTTGTACTATTCGTCCTTAAACAAATCTTTGTCGTCCATTTAATGTTTATCAACGCTCAAGAATCAACCATTAGTAATCCGCGTGAAACCTAAGGGACATCCGTTATAAAAGCATGACGTATATTGAAAATCTAACCTAAGTGAAACATGAAGAGCTTGGAACATAAAGACGTTTAGAAAAGTTCTCTAAGATGGATTGCAAGAGCAGAAAATTATATGGGTTTAAGGTTTGTTTTCTTAAATAATCATATAACTAAATATTTATTTTATTTAGCTAACCTTTTTTTTTTTATATCAGAAAGAAATTAGTGCAATTCATAAAGAGTATATTGCAATTGATCTATGAAACGAGGATCCCCAACATTTTTTCTTCTCCAAGATATCCAACATTTGTTTTTCACCGACAATGATGACAATGAAGAGCGATATTTTTACATTAATATTTTGTGTAAACAATGTAATATTCTATGCAAACAATGTAGTTTGTAAATAAATTAATTTATTAATATTGTGTGTAAACAATGCAATAAATTTATTTAATAAAACAAACTATCTAATCCCTCAGATTTTAAATAAACCGAGAAGTTTAAGGCATTGTTTGTGTAAATAATAAAAATGAAGATGCTAGGGATCAAACCCATGACCATATAACTTTACCCCTCGGTTTTTAATTTACCGAGGTGTTAAGTGAAAAATTTTCATGTCACCGTTCATTACGCCGGCTTGGTAGCCGAGGTTACATATATTTCACGTGCAATGTTATAAGCATCATGTGTAGTAGTGAAGCAAAAGTTGCTGATGAAGATGATGAGACTGATAATAATTGCTTGCCGACAAGTGACAGGTCGAGAAGAGTCATCATGCCACCTTAGAGACTTGGTTATGCAAATCTCATAGTTTATACCTTAATCTCTATAAGTAAGGTTATGGATGAAGAACCTAGAGACTATAAGGAAGGTATGAAGAGTCGAGACATGACTGAATGGATGAAAGCCATGAATGATGAGATGATATCACTTCATGATAATAACACTTGGGAGCTGATTGTGAAACCTGCAGTGGCCAGGTTAGTCAACTGTAAATGGATTTCAAGGTTAAGGAAGGAATCAAATGAGTGATGTCGAAGCAATTTGAGGCAAGGTTGATTGTTAGGGGGTTCACTCAGAAAGAAGGTGTCCACTTCAATGATGTGTTCTAACCCTTTGTAAAGCATAGATCCATTAGAATGTTGCTTGCTATGGTAGCATAGTTTGACTTAGAACTTGAACAAATGGATAAGAGGACAACCTTCTTGTATGGTGATCTAGATGAAATGATCCTGATGAGGCAACCTGAAGAGTATGCAGAAAAGGGAAAGGAAGATTATGTATAAAAGATGAATAAGTATTTGTATGGCCTGAAACAATCTCCTCGACAATGGAATATGATATTCAACAAGTTCATAACACACATAGGTTTGACTAGGAGCCAGTTTACCACTGTGCTTACTTTAAATTTTGACTTGGAAATTCACTTGTTATTTTGTTACTTTATGTGGATGACATCCTCATAGCAAGAAATAATATTGAAGATGTTATGAAGGTGAAGGTTGAACTCAGTAAGGAGTTCGACATGAAGAATCTAGGAGTTGCCTCCAGAATTCATGAGATTGACATCCAAAGAGATATAAAACAACCGAGATTATGCTTATCTCAAGAGACATACCTGAAGAAGATTATTGACAAGTTTGGTATGTCGAATTTAAATCATATTCTAACACTGACTAATCCTTGGTACAAGTTGAGTATGACTCAATGTCCTAGTACTGAAGTCAAAATAGTCTATATGAATAACATTCTATATGCTATTATAGTAGGTTCTTTGATCTATATTATAGTTTGTACAAGGTCACACATAGAGTACGAAGTGAGCCTTGTAAGCAGGTATATGACCAAACCTCGGAAGGCGCACATGAAAGCATTAAAGTGGATTTTGAGGTACATCAATGGGTCTTTGAGCAGAGTACTGATTTATGGTGGAGCATGTGGTGATGATAGAAAAGTCGAAATCGAAGGATTCATCGACTCTGATTATGCAGGTTGTATGGATTCTAGAAAATCTATTTCTGGATATGTGCTCACTATGTTTGGCACAACAATCAGTTGGAAAATAACACTTTATAAGGTTATCTTATCAACCACTGAATTAATTTGTGTAAATCATGCAATTATATGTTTGTTTGGATGATTTGGATGTGTTAGAATGTTGCTAATGTTATAGATTAATAGGTGTTGGAATCCAAAGTATGAACATATGAATTGTATGAGAGTTGGTGGGTTTTGGGTTGAGGAGAAAAGTGATTTTCGTGTTAGAATGTAGCAGAAAAGTGATTCTGCTACAGGTGTAATCAGTTACCAGAAACGGGAGTAACCGGTTACACTGTTGTGAAACTGCATTTCTGGGAAAGCTTGTGAGGGTGTAACCATTTACCTCATTTTGAGAAATTGATTGGGAAGTGCGTGGCAGAGGCTGGTTATAGTTGTGTAACATGTTACCTCATTTGATGCATAACAATGTTTTGTTCAAAGGAAGCATTCCAAAGTTTGAGGAGTGCTGAACAAAGTTAAAGTCATGTCTTGGGAATGGCATTGTATCGTAAATAGTTTTCGTTCTTTGTTTAGTTTCTTAGATTGGTGTGTATCTCTTTGTCTTGTTCAATTTCAACTGATTGATTAGTTTATTGTAAATTTTTCGAGTACACCTTTTACTTAATCATTTTTTAATCAAAATTATTACTTATTAAAAAAACAGATGAATTTTGTATCGCCTTACTACATCAAAATTTTATTACTATTTTCCATCGTTCTTAAATTTACAATGAACTATGTTACTCCCTCTGTTTTTTTTATAAGTCGTTTTAGACTTTTTACCGATACCAAGGAAGTTATTAACTTTTGCTAATTTTGTAAATATATTATAGGGTATTCCAATATTATCCTTTTTAAAAACACTCAAAATCTTTTGTTTCAAAATATACCAGATTAATCATTATGATTTGTCCATGGAATATCTAGATTGCATTTATTCCAATATATTCCATGAATAAAACATTAAATTAATTAAATTTATATGTGTCTTTTTCTATCCTACACTAATTCCTTGTTTTTCTCCCTCCCAAATTTTCCATCACTCACCAACGCTAAAGCACTCTGGGAGAAAAAATTAAGATTTTTTTTTGTTAAATTTTTCTCTCCAAAAAATTGGGAGTTAATATATTCTTAAGAGAGAGGAATTTTGAAAAAATCACAAATTAATATAGAGTTTTATGAGAGGAAAACTTTTTCTATAAAAAGTTGGACTAATGCATTGAAAAACAATATTCATAATGTCACTCTGCATTGGAATACAAGATTCAATGAATTATGAAAATTATAGAAAAAAGAGATGAATTAGGGGTATTTTAGAAAGAAAAAAATTAATTCTACATAGAAATTACAAAACAGACTTATATTTTGACACAATTTTTTTTCCAAAACGACATATAATTAAAAACGGAAGGAGTATCAAATAAGAATTGTATTTTAGTGGACATTCACACCATCAAAAATAATAATAAAAGTGTTATTTTAAAAATTCAAGATCAACCAGCAGATTTGATTTGCAATAGTTTAAACTTTATTAAATAAGGAAGTAAAGAATAGAAACAACTCAACAAGAAACACTTTCAAATAAACAAAGCAAAATTAAACTACTAATATTCCTATAAGATGAAATACTAAATTTTTTATTTCTTATTCCTACATTCAGAAACATCTCTACGAATTAATTTTCATCTATATTTTCAAAAGCCCATGCAACTTCTTCACGGAGTTTGGCTTCTTCCTCCGGCTCGTAATCGTTTTCAATATTAAAAAATTCACGCACAAACTCTACGCTCTTGTTTTTGATATGATCCGCAATGGTACGAGCAAGCAAATCCATAAGACTTTTTATATTTAGATAATTTGCAGCAAGAAGGAGAAGCTTCATGTCATCACTGTTCAATTCCTTAGTGAATTCAACGTCAAACTTGTCTTTTGCATTATCAGTCTCTTCTTCTGATACGTGTTTCTTGCAGTACTCAATGATCATAGCAAGATGTTGACTCAATACATTGGCTAGAGGAATTGTTGCGATATCTTCAGAATCATCAATGAATGATTGTATAGTTTTCATCTCTTTCACAACGTTAATTTTAACCTCAAAAAGAACATCATCGGATGTTTTTAATGTGACTGACTGTATTTCTTGTGATTTTGGTTCTGCCATAGTGATCAAAGATAAAGAGAGTGAAAACGTTGAGAGAGGAAAGTAAGAGTGGTTAAAGAGATAATGGTGTAATGAATTTATATAGGAAACAATTAAGTTTAGATATTTGTTTTTTTTATACAACAAATCAAATTATAATCTTTTAAGATAATTTATGTTTGATACAAATTTGGTTTTTCTGTTTTTTTATTGTTTAAGATTTTTAATTTAATTTTTTTATTTTAAATCAATTTTTTTATCTCAATTAATTTTAAGTTGATTTAAAATTCAATTTAGGATTATATAAAAAAAATTTGTGATTTAAATTTAAATTAAATTAAATTATTTTATTTATAAAAAATATAATAGTATAAATTAAAGAGTTTAAACAAATAGTAAAATTGGAGGAAAAATTAACCAAATCTTAGTATAATTTGTTATATATGATTATAGATAAGTGCTGATAAAATATATATTTTTCGAAAAAACAATGTTAATTGTTAATATAGAATCAACTTTCTATGTTTAAATGCTTATTATCATGTGTGCGATTCATTGCCGGCGGTGATATAAATTATAAACGGCGGTGATATAAATTATAAACCAAAAAAACTGAATAGTAACTACTAGTATATCACTTTTATGGAAGAAACAAAAATCACGATAAATATATTCACGATGTTTTTCTGGTATAAATATACGCATATTTAATGGATAAATATTAAACAATTTTTCTGGTATAAATATACGCATATTAAATAGTTTTTCTGGAATAAATAATATGCACTTTTAATGGATGTGATTCTTAAGTGTATTTATTGATTTGTTAGAGATTAATAGTTAATTCTTTATTCAATCAAATCTCTTATTTATAGATTTTCTTTCTATAAATATTTATATGAGGTGATTTGCTTGCATATGCTGTTAAAAGTTAAAAATATGTGATCCGGCAATAGGGGTGTACATGGATTATAAACCAAAGTAAATTACATATATGATTTGGTTTGTATCTTAAAACCGTTTATATATAAACCAGTTTATTTTTTTAAAATCGGTTTACAAGTGGATTGGTTCAGTTTCAAACCTGTTTTTAAAAAAAAACAGTTTTTTTTAAAAATCAGTTTTAAACCGGTTTCTTTCAAAATTAGTTTTTTTTTTATTTTCTTTAAAGAAATCAATTTTAAAACCAATTTTATAAAAAAACCAGTTTTAAAATCAATTTTTTTAACCCATTCATTTACTGCTCATACCCGAGAGACAGAGACCGAGCAAGGATGGTCGCATTAGAGGACTCAGAAATAGGGGTGTGCATGGATAACAAATTTAATATGAACCAATTCATTTTTATGGTTATGGTTTATAAACCAAATCATTTTTATGGTTATGGTTTATAAACCAAACCACTTGTTCTAAATCGGTTTAAAATTGGTTCTAAATAGATTTTGATTTTAACTCAAATTATTTAGTTAAATTTAAATTTAATTTTTTTTAATTATATCAAATTTTAAATTTAAATACTTAGATTTTAATATATTTTTTCTTTGAAAGTAAATATAAAATTTTCTAAAAATAAATCTAAAAATAAAAAATATTAAAAAATAAAAAATAAAATTGAAAATAAAAAATTCTAAAATAAAAATTTTCAGCAAGTTATATGGACTTAAAATGATAACTAATATTTATAATATATATATTTGTATATTTTAAAACATCTATCTATTGGTGGAGAAATCTATAACATTTATAATTATTTTTGCATAAAGCTTTAATGAACTTCGAGATTTATAAATGAAAACTAGAGTCAAATCCAACAAGTCAAGTTTTGGTAAATTTTCCTACACATGCCAAATCAAACTCAATGCACTAAGATCTATATAATTAATTACTGAAAGTTCATATAATTAACTGATAAAAGTTCATATAATTTGTGAAGTATTAGTACACCATTTTACGTAGTTAGAGAATTTGTAAACAATTTTTTTTCATTTTAAAATACAGAATTTTGAATCTTTTGGTTTAAAATATAAAATTAGTTTATAACGTGTATATGATAAAACATGAAAAGAGACAAAAACATCTTAATTTAACAAATTATAAAATTTGGATAACCAATGGATAAACCACATGGAAACTGGTTTATATTTGGATAGCAAAATGGATAACCAAATTTACATTTTAGCATTTGGTTTGGATTTTTAAAAGTGGAATAATTTGGATACAAATTTGGTTAACAATAATCGTTTTTTTTGTTGCACACCCCTATCCGGCGGTGATTTAGACATATATGGATACATTAGACCTGACCTTCATGCTAGTTATCCGGAGTATAAGGAGATGACGTCTAACTAACTCATCTCGCGATACATGATGACCAAGATACACTATGAATGACCCTTTCGCATTATTCCCCCTGTACGAGGTAAATGTGTCAGAACATGGTCAATCCTCAGTATAGGCAGGCATAACTTTCCACTAGGTGATGCAAGGGATATGAGAGATGATTCATCCCTGAAAATGGTTCAAATACAATAATAATAACAAGTGTAACAAATGAATTATGAAAATATTAGTAACATTAAAATATCGTAAGCAGCGTGCTTCATCCCTACTCTGTCTTCCAAAGACATCCCTTGCCTAGCTTCGAGTACCGGGAGACAAAATAGGCGCCCCCCAATTGTACTCGTCAATTTTCGTCAATTCGATGAACTACTAAAGGTAGACCACATCGACATAGGTTGCACTTTTGTCCACAAAAATGTACGTGTTGTTGCACCCCAAATTTTGACCTCTTAGATCTTCATCATCAGTTTAGGATCATACTCATTTGTTTATCTAACCATAACCTATTTCAAGTTTGTCTTTGTTAAGATACAGGTGAATTATGGTTTCGTACAGTCAAGAATTGAGGTTTCGATGGTTTAATCAGTCAATGTATTGGATTTATTCTCCATGAAACAATTCTCCACATCATCAAATATACTACATTGGGTCAAGTATGAGTCCAGTTTGATTTTGTCACCCAAAGATCAAGAACAGTGCAATCCAGGACACCCGATTAGGGTTTCTATTCAGGAAAAGTCAACTGTAGTTTGACTTTTGATTTAAAAAGTGTTCCAATGATGGAGTTATGGTCCATGAAGCTCATATGGATTAGGGAAGTCCACTAAAGAAGTTTCAAGGCCTCAGAAGACCCACGACACCAACAGTCGATTCAGAGGTTTTCGATCGTTTGGTTCGTCTGACTGAAAAGTCAACCCATTGACCAACAGGGTTTTAACCCAAAATTGAAGCCAAATATGTTCCCAACATCATTTAATATCTAATCATGAAGTTTTGTGACCAATTGATCAAGAATTGAGAAGTAATCGAAAAGTTGGGGAATTAAGGTTTTGAAAAGGGCAAAGCCATAACTCCTTAACCACACAAGGGTTTTTGACCTAGTTTCAAGAGGAATGAGTTCCTAAAACAAACATAAATATTGTAGTACCTAATTGGTGATTTATAAAAAGTACAAGTGTGTTCCATAACTCTTCTTGGTTAGAGAGAACCGAGGTCTACAAGTTGGCAAAAAACTCGCATTGGCAAAACCAGGTCAACATGAATTTTTTGATTCCAAAACCTCTCCAAATCGATGCTAATCAAAGTTTAAGCCTCATTTATGATTTTTATATTAATAATGAACAATTATACATCCATTCCCACGAAAATGGCACAAAGATCAAAGGAAATCATTATTTAATGCAAGTTGCAAAAGTGAATAGTGAAGAAAGAGAAAAAAGGTGGCTACCCTTGTCAAATCATCAACTTTAATTTAATAAGTCACCTCCTATCCTATCAATCATGATGAAAAAAATCTATGGGGCATGGAGAATATCTTAGTATAGTGGCTTAAAGACAAAGATGAAGATTGCATTGGAAAACTCAAAGATTTTCATGATGGAAGGTTAAAATTGGCAATTTGCTTCACTTTTACCCATACTTTGATCCAAGGCTTTTGGCTATAAATATAACTCACTTCCTACATCACAAACACACAAGTTTCATACTAGAAACCAGCTATAACTCCATTCCTTACACAATCACAAGTTCTTGCAAAATTTCATTAAGTTTCCAAAATCCCTCAAAATCTACTTTTGCAAAACACCTTTCAAAACTATTTCCAAACTTCTTCCAACTTAACAAACACTTCAAACACATAAAATATGATGTATTGAAGCTATCCAAATCACTCCCATATTTATGTAACAAGGTTCTAGTGAGTTGGTCTTTGAAATCTTTGGATTTTGGAGATTATCCTTCATTTACAAGGCATTTCGTCCACTAGCTTGCTTGGAGGTTGTTTGGAGCATCTATTCATCATCCTAGGAACATTTGAAGATCTTGGAAGAGCTTTCAAGATCTCTGGTTTTCTTATTGCTTAATATTTCTTCAAGAGGTAAACCTAAAACTCATAAATGTGAACTTTCCATTTGCATTTCACATGCTACCATGACTGTTTTTAGGGTTTTTACCATGATGTTCTTAGACTTTTCCAACTTGTAACTTGATTTTTCTTGTGATATTGATCTTGTATTATTTATACATGTTTGTTAATATGTTTAAATAATCAAACTTGTTTGATTCATTGTCTTACCATGTGCATTTTATTCTTTTTATCACTTAGATTTTTATGTTTTGTTCACAAACTTAAAAACCACATAACTTCTCCATTTTAAATCATTTTTAAGTGGTTATTTTTGCAAAATTCTTGTGTTGTAACATATTTCTATATAATGTTTAAAGAATTCTAAAAATCCTATTTTAGAAACAATTTGCATTATGAGCAAGTTATAACCCATTTTAGAGTTTTCACCTTCCTATCTTTCCTTCTTTATTTCAAACATTTGGATTTCATTCTCTTTGAGTTTTTAATTTGAGATTATGAACTTGGATTGTTAGATTCCTTGGGAATTTAAGTTTGAATTTCAACTTTGCTTGTACACATTTAGGTGGTTCACCTTTAAAAACTGTTGATTATCCCC